TTGTAAATCCGCAGTAATTTCCTGGTGTTCAAACATTTCTAATTACGTATGTATTACGTATGTTTTATTAAACATTCGCTTGCGTAATGCTCTTTGCTCGATGGTAATGGCTGGGAGTTAATGGTGAAAGCGCTACTTGGACCAAGGACTTGGACTTCTGGGAGTGGGTTGTGGCGGGCTGCGCGAAAGCTCTTCTAACATATCAATTTACCTGCGAGGACATTCCCCTTATTTGTGGGAGTTTGACATTTTGTTTCGACACCGGTATCGACTTTCAGTTGAGTTCGTTGTTTCCCTGCAAACACGTGAAAAGATACTTTCGTAGATGTTTTGGTCGCATGGATTACACACTAACATGTGTGTGCTGTTGTTGGGACGTTGTTAAGTTTCCTGCAATGTCTATGATGTATAGGATGGGATGGGGTCATCCATTGTGACCATTCGATCCTCAGTGTTGTGAGCTCTTGTGATCTGTGTGGGTTGTGGTTGACCACAAGGATTGAATCAGTAAAGATTGTGTGTGCTTGCCTTAGAGAAGATGAATGTGTGTGAATATATACGCATGTTTATGCATATGTCTCTGTATGTATGTATATATGCATGTGTGAGGGTGTGTAGATACAAGTGTGTATGTGTGCAGAATTGTGTATAATTATGTTTCTTTGTGTTTGTGTTTGCGCCCGCGTGCGTGCGTGCGAGTTTGTGTGTGCGCGCGCCTGTATTTGTGTAGAAGAGGGCTTCTGCATATTTATGCTTTTGTTTGTTTCGGCATGTGTGCGTGCGTGCGTGCGTACGTGTGTACATGAATGCTTCTGTGTGTATGTGTGCATGTGTGTTACACACATGCACACATACACACAGAAGCATTCATGTATGTATGTGTGTGTTTCGAATAAACGGGGATTTTCTTAATAAGCACTTTTCACACAACAGAAGACAAGTCCTCAACGCGATGATAAAAAAATAGTACTCACACACTAGAAAGGTAGTACTCACACAATCCAGTACGCCCAGAACGGGAGGCTAGTACTTACACAACAGACACTCAATAACAGGTCTCATTATGAACATTAGAGTCTCATAATAAAATAACACCAAAATATCATGTATTTCAATATCTGAATGAGAAGTCATCATTACTAGTAGCTTTAAACTCCAAAAGAATGTTTATCATCCGTAGTAGCAGAGATCTGTGTTTGTGTGTTTGTGTCTCCTCAGAGACAAATGCATGCTTGATTCTCTTGGATACTAAACTCGTTTGCTTTAGCCGGCCTGGCCGACGACAATTTTGCCACTGAAATTATCTTTATGATGATACTGGTCAAAGGGAGACGACTCTTGCCATGCGCTTCTTCGTTCTTCAACTGGGGATTGAAATGAATAACAACGCATCGATTTTGTATGCTTCATTGTCGAATCAAATGCATACAAATACATAATACATACTATATAATGGGTAAGGTGGCAGGGTATCATTGGTACACCGAAAGAGCGGGCGAGATGAAGGTATGCGTGGCGTGCTGGGCGTATGGGGGGGGGGGGGGGTGCAGGGGTGAGCACCACCCGTTTTTTATCTCGCATACCTGTCACCTACCTTGCATATTTGTTCTGTTCACGACCTGATAATGTGTGAAACTACCTCATACCCTCGCTTTTCCAAAATCCTGAATCCGCCTGTCGGTGTTATATTGCTGCACCGACTGAGGTGATGATTGGAGTATTGGAATGTCAGTAACAGAATGTAGGAAGCGGGTATAAAATCATAAGAATCCACCATCACCCCATGGCTAACATTATTCCAGCAATGGCACCAAAACTATCCTTTTTTTGCCCACTGAAACTATTCTAAAACTAAAACTGGGCGTACAATGTATTCAATCCAAACACTCCTTACTTGCAACCCAACAATACTCTGATAACTCATCCCAACCAAACGTTTTTATGTGCAGAAAATCGTGATACTACTTCCAGTCTCTGGGGCGGTGGGGTAGCCTAGTGGTTAAAGCGTTCGCTCGTCACGCCGAAGACCCGGGTTCGATTCCCCACATGGGCAAAATGTGTGAAGCCCATTTCTGGTGTCCCCCGCCGTGATATTGCTGGAATATTGCTAAAAGCGGCGTAAAATCAAACTCACTCACTCACTCACTTCCAATCTCTATAACCCGTGAAGATACGGGTTACAAATTTACCTTCAGTAAACCGTGCTTGTCGTAAGATGCGACGGGATCGGGTGGTCAGACTCGCTGACTTGGTTCACACATGTCATCGTATCCTAATTGCTTTGATCGATGCTCATGCTGTTGATCACTGGATTGTCTGGTCCAGACTGGAGTATTTACAGGCCGCCGCCATATAGCTGGGATATTGCTGAGTGCGGCGTTAAACAACAAACAATCGAATAACAAACCAATGGGTGGGTTAATGTTCAAAATATATAAACAACTGCATTCAAATTTCTACGTTTTTGAAACGAAAGCCTGAAGAGTAAACTTCCATGCATTTCAGCAATTTAGATCGAACGTGAATATTTACCATACCAGAGTAAAATCGAATTTTGATTCGAACGTCAAACAGCATTTCCAAGTCACGTAGGACCAAGGCACAGACACTTCATTGCGTATTATATGGTGTTCTCTTATACTCGAAATGCATGCAGAGCCTATCATAGGATACATACGGAAATGAAAGAAGTTCACAGAGTTCGTCATTGCATGATAGTACAGAACTGTGACATGTCAGGTTTACCGGGTGACCAGAGCGGCAAGGTTGTTGGTATGCTTCAGACGGGAACCAGGCACTACTCCGTGACGTCAGGATATCGGCAGACAGTGGGTCGGCTCAGAGCAGTTAGGCGTCATGTGTCATTCTACCAGATGAAGGTCGTTGATAACATAGTTCTCCTTATTTAAGTCGCTAACTTTGAAGCAATCAGTATCAACTGTAACAGGACATTTCAGGAGGGTCACATTGACACGTCAAAATCGACTTGAGCTCAGGAGAGCGCGTACTTTTCAACGGAGACGGAAGTAGGCTGGGAGTCATGGTATCTGATGGTATCTCAACTCTTCAGAACAGATGATACTATATCAGTCTTAGACTAAGGCTTAGTCTCTGAATATATATAATTTTGATAGTAACAAACAAGCCCATTTATATTGAAAAGGAGCCCTAGGGAGACCAGAGATTCAGAACCTGAACCTGAGGAAATCTAGACTTGCCCTTTATTTATAGCTTTAGCACTGCAGAGAGGGCTTGGCAGTGGGGAAAATAATGTGGGTCAGGGACTGTGAGACAGACTATATCAGTCTCTGTGATCAAAATATAGGCTGCTTTCATAAAGTTGATAACATAAAGCAAACTTTTGAATAGTTAACACAAATAAATGTAAATCTACCATGAATAAACTCCAGTCCAAATGTGAAGACATGTTCAAGTATTCATTATTCCCATACATCAAACAACAAGTTAAGAACATACAGATTGGTCAAGTCATAATACACGAAAAAAATTATCTATTTCATTGTAAAACAAAGCTTATAGATCACATTTTTCAAAACTATGGTTAAGTCATCATAAACTCAAAATGGAAACTGGTAGATATACAAAACCTGCCACCCCGCTGGAACAACGTCTCTCTGTAATGTCTTAGAAGATGTGCAACACCACTTAATATCCTGTATAAAGCATAGCAAAGATTCCCCTGAACATGCTGGTTAGAATTGGTCTTCAGCAACCCATGCTTGTCGTAAGAGGCGACTAACGGGATCGGGTAGTCAGGCTCACTGACTTGCGCAGATCGATGCTCATGCTGTTGATCACTGGATCGTCTGGTCCAGACATGTTTATGTACAGACCGCCGCGACATAGCTGGAAATTTGCTGAGTGCGGCGTATAACTAAACTCACTCACCCACTTTAAAGGCAAGAGTAAACTTATGTCTGATTCTTAAAAAAATATAATTTGCAGAGCCCCAAAAGGGTCCGAAAATAAAGCTAAACTAAATATGGATTACTTGAGGACGTGGACGTGTCCGAAAACGTCCATTCTTGGGCACACAGTTTGTCGCCCTCCAAAAACATGCGGGGTAGATCCACAATAAATATCCCGAAGAGTTAGTTTATTCCAATAATAATGTTCAGTGGAACAGCAGAGTACTAAGCAATAATTATAATGATTTACAGTTATTAGTCCAGACTTGTACGCCACCAGCATTCTGTCTGCAGGAAACATATGTAAAACAGACAGATGCGTTTGATCTTCGTCGTATAAATTCATATCATTATTTCTCATCCCCGGGTGATAGGCCCACTGGAGGGTCTTCAATCTTAGTCAAACAGAATGTCATCCATAGCCCAAGTTACACTTACTACTAATCTCCAAGCAGTTGGCAGTGCGACTTACGTTACACGGTACATTTACATTATGCTCTTTGTATATCCCAACTTAAACGCTTTAGCAGACTGACCTTCAAACTCTTTATTACCAACTACCAAGACCCTGTATTATTATGGGGGATTTAAATGGCGACAACCTGTTGGGAGGTGGTACAACTACAAATGCTAAATAATAATGATTTATGCATATGGCGACGGTTCGTATTTACACTGTGATATAGTGCCTTTAATGCACAAGTTGATCATGACCAACAGATGTGCCTTTTGCTGTTCTAAAGTTTATCAGAATTTTATTTTTGTGCTGTTTCTATGGAAACACGACTTATTGAAAAATGTGTTTGATGGTTATCTTGTGCAGAGCATATCACCGAAACTATATATGCGAGGTTCACTAAAGTTAATTAACAAGTTAATCATGGGAGTCAGTGGCATTCTTCACCAACGTTCATTTCATCGTGTACAACAACAGACAGTCATTCAATGGCATGCCAGGTTTCCAGAAAAAACCACAATAAAATAATATTTCCATAAATTATGAATGTAATCAGGAAATGGCAAAACTATTATCAAACTTGTATATCAAGTTTGTCCTGCTGGTCACAATATATATTCATGTATCAATATCAGTCATTTCCATGGCCAGAAAGGGGGAAGCGGGGGTATGCGAGCTGTGCTCACTTTTACACGTGTCTCTTACCGCATTCAACCAAAAGTGCACCTGCAGTACAGTGCAGGGGCGTTATGTTCCACTGAGTTCTCAACTATTCATAGGCAAGCGGGTCGGTTGTACCTCCACATCCGGGATCTACTCAACCCAAGGTTGAATTGACATTTTGCCTCGTTCAGAATGATTTCGCTGAGGACTTTGAGGATTATTCTACCATTATTCGCCGCCTGTGAGTATGCATACAATATAGTCACAACTAGAATCCAGTTGGGAATCTAGATACCTTGATTTATGTGTTGGTCCTTGTCGCCTCATGTCCCCATTTGTGATCATAATGAACACTGGAAACTAGACAACAGGTTGCTGCTCACTGGATGGAATCAACGCTGTTCAAATCTGACACCAAATCAAACAAAATTTCTTGTATACTCTCCCAAAAAAGAAACGCATATAGGAATTTCAACTGTATTTTTATGTTTATTTTGAAACATCTTGTAGGCTTTATGAGTAAATGAAATATAGCGAAATTGCACACTGGGAATCCAGACGTATCCGTTTTTGGCACCAACTCGAGGAAAGTCAGTTTGAGCGTCACATGGAGACGTGTGGTGGCGCTGAAGTCAATACCTCGTGTGACCACCGTGGGCATCCAGAACTGCACGGCATCCCTCGGCATCGAACGAATACGTCTCAGAATCTCGTGTTGCCCAATCGCAGCCCACTCTGCCTATAGTGCCTGTGCGAGTTGCTGAAGTGTCTGGGGCTGAGGGTTACGGCGTCGCATCCGTCTGTCCAGGGCATCCCACAGATGTTCGATCGGGTTTAAGTCCGGTGATCTTGAGGGCCAGGGGAGCACATTGATGTTGTGGTTCTGGAGGAAGTCTCTAGTGTGACGTGCTGTGATGAGAGAGGGATGTTAGTTAGCTCACACCCAAAACACTTCAGTTGTACAAATTACTGTTTATGACCCACTCAGGTAGTTAATGTCACTTTTATGAGACCTGAAGCAATCTGAAAGAGTGAGTGAGTTTAGTTTTACGCCGCTTTTTATTCCAGCAATATCACGACGGGGAACACCAGAAATGGGCTTAACACATTGTACAGGTGTTACCTTTCTGTGACATCTCTTTCAGAACCCACATCTTTGACATGCGGCAACCAAACAAACAAACAAAATACATAAAAGCTCCATTGTTGTCTCCTCGTTACATGTTGCGTCACACTCTATGACCGGAAACTACACATTTAATATAGGTCAGCCCCATCAGAGTTGTGATTCTGAATTGGATTTAGGTGAAACGTTGGAGCTATGTAACAAAAAGTACGGCTTGTTTTGTACGATTCTTTTGTTTGTATCTATCTATCTTCAGTATATGAGGGGCGGTGGGGTAGACTAGTGGTTAAAGCGTTCGCTCGTCACGCCAGAGACCCGGGTTCGATTCCACAAATTGGTACTATGTGTGGAGCTCATTTAGGGTGTTAAGGTTAAAAGGTTGCGCCGCAAGGTTAAAATTATTGGATGCTAACGTACTTTACGTTGTCTTACGTTCCGTTTAATATGGAATACTGTAAGGGACATTCTCGCGATCTCGCATTCTCGCTATCTCGACCTTGGGAAACAAGCTGAAAATGCGAAAATTCGAGATCGCGAGAACGCGAGATTTGTTTTGGTACATAGCACTTTTTGTCAAAAGTCGACAACGCGAGAATGCGACATTTGTACATGCTGTCAAATCTCGCAATCTCGCAATCTTAACCTGACAAATAACGCGAAAATGCGACATTTCATTTTCTCGCGTTCTCGCGCGATCTCGCGATTTAGACACTGTCGTTGCACATGCGTAATAGCATAAGGTCAAGGCGCATGCGCATGTTAGTAGTGCTGTGGTCATGCTTCTTTCATGCTTTTCATTTCCCAAGTTGCATTTAGCAAAATTATGACATAGCTTGAAAATGCTAATACATACACGAAGTGTAGGGTAGTGTATAAAAGTACGCTACCGTTGTTACAATTTCCAATGTACTTAAAAATCATCAACATGCTAAACATAATTTAACAAACGAAAGTGTGAATGTGAATGTCCAATAAAAGTGAAAACATGAAAGTGTCCGGAAGCTGTAAAATATATTAACGTCAGTGATTGATAAAATATTGCTTAAAGCCGCATCAATTCGCAACTATACCGTCAGTTAGAGAAATAATCACAGACCAGTGAGTTTCTCCATGATGCAATATCATATACGGCTAGCATATTCATTCAAACAAAATTCTAACAGGCCAATTTGTAGCAGTCGGCTAAAATGAGCGTGTCTGATGTTTACTCGACACCATATGCGCTAATTTAATAGATTTTCTTCCGCTCCCGCCTGACTACAAAACATCCTGCTTTATAGTATTCTTTTGTCTTCAAGTTCCAAAAAATAGAAATACATTATCGCTAAAAGTTGTGTTCCTCTGGCAGCCATGATAAAGTGGAGTTCCAATGTGTTATTAACCACAGACTACGGATTATGAGTGAGATATCTGTTTATTTCCATATCGTGGTGGAAGAAGACACCCTGTAATAACAATAACATACACGATATACATAACATAAAATCACATCTGGTGAACATGTCATCATAATAAATATAGTGCATAAATGTGCCTATCAACAATCATATACAGGTATTACACGATGCAATATAACACAGGTGACTTACGTGATCACGTGCTTACAGTGATATACAAAATGAGTGTTGACATAAAAACTTATAAAAATACATATACTGAAAGCCATTAAAAACGCAATTGGTATTTGTTGTCCTGAAACTTACAAAAGTTCTATTGAAGATTTTTTCCTGCGATACAGATGATGAAGGGATAAAAGGCTGTTATTCTGGCCCATTTCGAGTTCGAGTCCCGGAGCATTCCTCTCACATGAACTTTGATACTTAAAACTGAACCTTTGACATTTCTCGTAACCACAACCACAATCATGAAACACGTTGTGCACATGCATTACCTGCACCCAGGCCCTGCAAAAGCACAAGGAATTGTGGAACGCAATCACTTTGAGAAAATGCCACACTTGACACAAGACGAAAGGAATCAGGTGATCGGTATGGTCAGCCAAGGTGCTTCAGATGTGATGATTGCCGGGCACTTTAATGTGCATCCATTCACTGTAAGTCGACTCAGACAACGTTTTCGGGCTACCGGAAGTGTTGCTGATCGTCCGCGACCTGGTGCACCACCTGTGATAACAGCTCGACAAAACCGCAATATCCGAGTTTCACGCTTGCGAAATCGGTTCCAAACAGCTGATGATTAGGCAAGGAGGACAATTTGGACAAGTCATTTCAACACCCAAAAGGTGCAAGGACGCCTTGCTGCCTTCAACATCCGGTGTCGTCACCCGTACCGTGGTCCAACCTTATTGCATCGCCACAGACTTGCCAGACAGCGATGGGCAGCAAATGGGGCCAATCTTGGCAACAGGACATGGCCAGATGTCATTTTTTCAGATGAATCCAGGTTTAACTTATCCTTTGCAGATGGACGTCAACAGATTTATCGACGTAAAGGAGAAATACTTGCGTCAAACTGTGTCCTTGAACATGATCGTTTTGGAGGGGGTGGTGTCATGATCAGACCACAGACCATCAGAGGCTGCAGACCATCCAACAGCTGTTCCTGAGAAATGTGTGTCTTTCAATGCCCCAAAGACTGCGAGCATGTCTTGCAGCTCACGGTGGACACACACGATATTGACTGCAAGTGACCCCTCCTTTGTGTGATGTCGTTGTTGCGTCACTGATGTTGTTGTTGACTGGACATTTTCAGATGAAATTATTCACAGATGTTCACTTAAAACATATCTGCCAGTTAGGTTTATATATGTTGAAATTAGTGTGAGTTAAGAAAGTACGAATGTCAAATTGCATTTTTAATGGCTTTCAGTATAGTATAATGATTAAATAGACTGTAGATACTGTACAAAGAAACCTATCCTGTGGGTGACACGAGAGTGTGTCTGCACATCCAGCACCCGGACAATCAACGCATGCAATAATCCCATATAAGTACCACACACTGATCAAATGTAATCTTTGTCAAGTACACACAATATACATGATAGATGGGATACATCAATCTTACATGATACAGAAAATTGTTAGCAAACAAGAACTACTAGCCAGCATATTGACTGGACATATAGAAAACAACCATAAGTTAAATGGCATATTGTGTATTGACTTTTATTTTGTTATCATGGGCATATTTAGTAACCTTGTTTGTATAATGATTAATATTAGGGTTTAATTTACTATGTATATAACAATTATAATGTATAATAACTAACCTTTGATTCTGACCAAACTGTGACACAGAACCGTACATGAAAAACAAAGATACCCGTGAAGGTCCGGGTTAGAATGTATCTTCAGTAACCCATGCTTGTCGTAAGAGGCGACTAACGGGATCGGGTGGTCAGGCTCGCTGACTTGGTTGACACATGTCATCGGTTCCCAATTGCGCAGATCGATGTTCATGCTGTTGATGACTGGATTGTCTGGTCCAGACTCGATTATTTACAGACTGTCACAATATATATGGAATATTGCTGAGTGCTGCGTAAAACTACATTCACACACTATAATAATAATAATGAGTTATGCATATGGCGACGGTTCGTATTTACACTGTGATCTAGTGCCTTTAATGCACAAGTTGATCATGACTAACAGATGTGCCTTTTGCTGTTCTAAAGTTTATCAGAATTTTATTTTTGTGCTGTTTCTATGGAAACACGACTTATTGAAAAATGTGTTTGATGGTTATCTTGTGCAGAGCATATCACCGAAACTATATATGCGAGGTTCACTAAAGTTAATTAACAAGTTAATCATGGGAGTCAGTGGCATTCTTCACCAACGTTCATTTCATCGTGTACAACAACAGACAGTCATTCAATGGCATGCCAGGTTTCCAGAAAAAACACAATAAATAATATTTCCATAAATTATGAATGTAATCAGGAAATGGCAAAACTATTATCTAACTTGTATATAAAGTTTGTCCTGCTGGTCACAATATATACCTCGTGTGACCACCGTGGGTATCCAGAACTGCACGGCATCGCCTCGGCCTCCGACGAATAAGTCTCAGAATCTCGTGCTGCCCAATCGCAGCCCACTCTGCCTATAGTGCCTGTGCGAGTTGCTGAAGTGTCTGGGGCTGAGGGTTACGGCGTCGCATCCGTCTGTCCAGGGCATCCCACAGATGTTCGATCGGGTTTAAGTCCGGTGATCTTGAGGGCCAGGGGAGCACATTGATGTTGTGGTTCTGGAGGAAGTCTCTAGTGTGACGTGCTGTGTGGGGCCTGGCATTGTCCTGTTGAAACAACTCCCTCTGGCGATCAATGATTGGAAGGAGGTGTGGGCGTAGGACTTCGTCACAGTACCGTTGAGCTGTCAGGTTGCCCTGGATCATCACCAAATCACTTCTCCTACGGCAGGTGATCGCTCCCCACATCATAACACTTTCCCCGGCCGAATCTGTCCACCTGGGAAACGCAAGCGTCGGCGAAACGTTCACGTCGACGTCCTCAATCCGGGTATTTGTCGAGCGGTAATGGTCGCCGTAGCTGTTCGATGACGCAGGTGATGTACCCGGATGTAGCGATCCTGCGCTGCAGTGGTCGCTCGAGGTCGCCCACTACGAGAGGCATCTGCTACCGAATTCTGCCGGCGATATCTCTCCCAGAGCCGTGAAATGGTGCTTTGGTGAACATTCATGCATCGGGCAACTGCACGTTGAGACTGGCCAGCTTCAAGCAAACCAATGGCGATATGACGGTTGGCTTCACTTAGACGTAGCATTTTGCGTTCGTCAACAATATTCCAAATACCCATCATTGAGACTATCTGATTCCCAACTTTCACGTGCATTGCATGTGAATTGTGTATTCTGTGACACTACACGCCGAAATTGAAAATCATGCTGTTAAATACGGCTATTTTACGGATGGTGCGTTTTGTTGTGATGTTTCAAAACATAAAAACCATGACTCATAAACAGAGCAAAACCTTTTGTAAAATGAATCACCTTTTCATTCATTGCTACATGAAATTGCTATTTTCATGATGCGTTTCTTTTTTGGGAGAGTATACATTCAGAGAAATATTTATGACCCCAGACCCAAATTCTAATCCTACTCTCAAAACTGTGAAAATATTTGGAACTTGCTTGTTCCAAATAATATTCAAGTTTTACAAAAAGTATTAGTTCGTCACGAGGATGATCCGGGTTCATTTTGACGCATGTGTACTAGGTGTGAAGTGTATTTCTTCTGTCCACATACTTCATAATATACCTTGAATATCGCTGAGTGTGGCGTAAATCAACGCTCACTCATATACGATGGGAGAGGGATGTTTATGGAATCCTAGAAGGGACATTGTCGCTATGTCGCATTGTCGCGTTGTCAAAAACAAGTAATGTGAGGCAAAATAAAATAAAGGGCGACATCGCGACAACGCGACATTTCGCCCATTTGTCGCATTGTCGCGATGTCGCGTGTCGCGTTTTGAATAATATTTTTCTATTCCTCCAAAGGGCGACACGCGACATAGCGACAATTTTCAAGGTCAAAATATGTCGCGTTGTCGCGCGTCGCCCCTATCTAAGATGTGTAAAAAGAAGCATAAAAATTCACTAAGACGCGACATGCGACAATGCGACATATTATATGTCGCATTGTCGCGTGTCGCGTTTTCGCCCTTTTCGATTACCGGTGCGCATGCGTAGAAAGTCAAAGAGTCTACGCATGCGCAGGAAATGTTATACTCTATTTCACACTTCAGTGGTCTTTTGTTACCTCCAATGCTTTTTACAATGAAGTAGTACGCGTAATTATAATGGGGGCTGCTTTTCTTGAACTTAATTGAAATCTTTCATTGTTGCTTTGAAAATTATTGTATATATTGTAAATGTATTTGGCCAATCAAGTGTGTTTTAGCAGCAAGACAAATTATTAGCGCTACTATTCATTGTAATCACGGCACCTCTGTCATTCAAGGCGGGGCAATTTGCTGTGCAGAGTTCTAATCCCAGTACCATACACACTCATTACTTTGGACTTTTCACCCATATCAAGCTCACAGGTTGTGAAAAACTCAAATATTGTTAAAATTCAGGCCACATCGGCAGAAACATCAAGTGATGTCCACGAATGGGTCACTATGTTCCACAGTGTGGCTCCTCAGAGAGATTCTTGGTACAGTCCTGTCCGACGCTGATGAACTTGTTCAGCCAGCAGTGGATGGATACCAGGTAGAATGAGATGGTAATATCACTTAACCATCCAGCACCTCAAATACAGTTTTGGTCGACTTTGAACGTGATATTCTTCTTGGGAAAACGCCGTACAAATGGAATGTTATCATTATGATTTTAAAAGCGGTCAAATCGCTTGGCAGAGTTGCGTACCCTTGGAGTGCCAGAAATCAACCCTCGCTCGCTCGCTCCCTCCCTCTCCACTCCACTCATCTCTACTCTACTCCACACCACTTCGCTCCACTCCACTCACTCACTCACTCATTCCACTCCACTCCGCTCCGCTCACTCATTCCACTCCCGCTCCACTCACGCACTCACTCCACTCCACTCACTGACTCACTTCTCTCACTCACTCCATTCCGCTCCTCATTCCACTCCCCGCCCACTCACTCACTCATTCCACTCCACTCTCCTCTCACTCCACTCCGCTCACTCCTCACTTCTCTCACTCACTCCACTCCCCGCTCCACTCACGCACTCCATTCCACTCCACTCCACTCCACTCCGCTCCTCTCCACTCCGCTCACTGACTCACTTCTCTCACTCACTCATTCAGCTCCGCTCCACTCCAACCACTCCCCGCTCCACTCACTCACTCATTCCACTCCAAACCTCTCCACTCCGCTCACTGACTCACTTCTCTCACTCACTCATTCCGCTCCGCTCCACTCCAACCACTCACTCCCCTCCCCGCTCCACTCACTCACTCATTAACTCACTCCGCTCCACTCCGTTCACTCATTCCACTCCACTCAACTCCACTCACGCACTCATTCCGCTCCGCTCCACTCTACTCACGCACTCTTTCCACTCCACTCCACTCCACTCACGCACTCATTCCGCTCCGCTCCACTCCACTCCACTCCAATCCAATCCGCTCCACTCCGCTCCACTCCGCTCCACTCCACTCCACTCCAATCCAATCCAATCCAAACATCGAAAAGTAATCATGCTTGTGATAGTTTATAAAATCCGCCGTAACTAATAAAACGCAACACGCGACAATGTGACAACGCGACATTTTGATGAAATGTCGCGTTGTCGCATTGTCGCGTATCGCGCTTTGTTAAAATATTGAGTACAGTATGTATTATAACGTATTTATACAGTATGTAATAACGTAGACGCGATAATGCGACAACGCGACATTTTGATGAAATGTCGCGTTGTCGCATTGTCGCGCGTCGCGCTTTGTTAAAATATTGACTATAGTATGTATTATAACCATAGGGGTTCGAATCACTGTTTGGCCTCTCTTCGATAAACATCGACAGTTTCCGTGGATATTTTAATGACTCGGAAACAGAAAACGGCTCAGCCTGGTTCCCAGGGTCTGCTGCCCTAACGCTTCCACACTGAAAAAGCCATTTATTATCTAATTCTTTTCTTATGTATTATGAGGAAATAATTGATAAAGTTCAAACCATTGTTTTTTAACTGCGGGTGTGCTTGTAAAATTATCGGCTCTCAGTAACATAATACAGAAAAATATATTCCTTATCTTGAGTTACTTTGGTACATATAATTTGTAATAAAATTAAACAGATCCATCCATGTACACACTTTTTTTCGAAGAATGTTGTCTGAATCGGTTTGTAAGACAACATGAAAAGGTTTTACCAATATTATTCAGAAATGTTTATGATTAAAATAAACATTGGGAATCAAATGATCTGTACAGAAAACACACACAATTATACTGCTGAATACAATGAATTTGACCCACTATTTTACTAAATTGAATATATAATAATACACAGTATGATCAGTATGCTAATACACTACCATAAAAATACATACATTGCCTTAAAAGTACATATAAACTTAAGTACAAAAGAAACGCTACAAACAAAAAAAATTATAAAATATGAATTACTAAAAAAATATTTTAGTTTCCAGGTACAGGAACTATATCACCCGAACACATCTTAGGTGTTTACAAACAAAAATTGGAACAGAATCCTTGCTTTGTACACTTCCAAACAAAAACATGAAATGCACGTTTTTAGTCATTAAAATACAATTTTCGTTCGACTGGGGTATAAATTCGATGCAGAAGGCAAGCACAGCATCATTGTCTCAAAACGACACCAGAAGAATGCCGAGATTGACAGCGCAGCAGCGAGAAAGAGCATTGGGAATGTTGGAGATGGGCGCCACTCACGACCACGTCGCTCAAACCCTCGGCTGTCACCGCGTAACAGTGTCCAGACTCGTCCAACGATATCGACAGACTGGCCAGACTACTGATAGACCCAGAACTGGCCGACCCAGGGTTACAACACCACGCGAGGACCGGTACCTGCGCACATTGCACTTGCGCAACCGTTTCCTGACGGTGACGTCATCGGCGGCGTTGGCGTTAGGTCGTCGTGTCAGTCGACACACAGTGACCAGGCGGCTTAGAGCTTTTGGCATCAGGGCTTACAGACCGTTCCGGGGACAGCGGCTGACCCAGGCACATCGACAGAGACGACTGGAGTGGGTACGGCGAGTACGACGATGGCAGCGACGTCAATGGCAGCGAGTGCTCTTTAGCGACGAGAGCAGATTTCTCTTATTGCCGAAACGATGGCAGGGCACGGGTTTATCGTCGTACTGGAGAACGACAGGCCGCCTGTTGCGTTCAGGAGGTCGTTCCCTATGGAATGGGAAGTGTGATGGTGTGGGGAGGCATTTGTGGAGAACAAAAGACGCCACTGGTCATCGTCAATGGCAACCTGACGGCCAGACGGTATATCGATGACATTCTTCGCCCCACAGTACTGCCATTTATGCGCAATCGCCAACAGTGCATCCTGCTTCAGCATGACAATGCAAGACCCCATGTGGCAAGAATTACACAGAACTTCCTTCAAGCAAACAACGTTAATGTTCTTCCGTGGCCAGCATGCTCCCCTGACATGTCACCAATCGAGCACTTGTGGGACGCTCTTGATCGTCGTGTTCGGCGCCGTCAACATCCCCCAACAAACCGTCAAGAACTCGCTGACACCCTCCAAGAAGAATGGCGGAACATTCCACCTGCTGACGTCAGACGACTGACGTCATCAATGCGTAGAAGGGTCTATGCATGTCTTGAGGCGCGAGGAGGCCATACTCGCTACTAGAGTTCACCATAGTCATTGCTATAGACTTTTCTTTAGCAGAAGTTTATGTGTAAAAAAATGAAAATGAAATTGCTGAAGTGTCGTTAAAAGAATCCTCTGTAACATTGGTACCATATCGTTATTTATAATTCTTGACAATCATCAAAAAACTTTTTATGTCAGTCGTCTCGATAAACTTTATTGCATGTTTATAGTGTTTGTGGTTTCTTCACAGGGTAATTTTGAAAAGTTGGTAGCGTTTCTTTGTACTTGAGTTTATTTGAAGATTAACATTTAATACAGATGTACATTCCGCTATTTGAGCTTTTTACCACTGAAACTTGTCCTGAGTACTGTAGTTTTTATGGCTTGAAGCCAGTATCAGTGTATGCATTTGGTGTACATGTATACTCGCCCAAAAAAGAAACGCATATAGGAATTTCAACTGTATTTTTATGTTTATTTTGAAACATCTTGTAGGCTTTATGAGTAAATGAAATATAGCGAAATTGCACACTGGGAATGCAGACTTATCCGTCTTTGGCACCAACTCGAGGAAAGTCAATTTGAGAGTCACATGGAGACGTGTGGTGGCGCTGAAGTCAATACCTCGTGTGACCACCGTGGGCATCCAGAACTGCACGGCATCCCCTCGGCATCGAACGAATACGTCTCAGTATCTCGTGTTGCCCAATCGCAGCCCACTCTGCCTGCAGTGCCTGTGCGAGTTGCTGAAGTGTCTGGGGCTGAAGGTTACGGCGTCGCGAGCGTCGGTCCTGGGATGTTCGATCGGGTTCAAGTCCGGGGATCTTGTCGGCCGAATCTGTCCACCTGGGGAACGCAAGCGTCGGCGAAACGTTCACCAAACCAATGGCGATAGACGGATGGCTTCACTTAGACGTGGCATTTTGCGTTCGTCAACAATATTCCAAATACAGTGAATAATCGGCAGGCAACGATCAACCTTTTATACCCATCATTGAGACTATCTGATCCCCAACTTTCACGTGCATTGCATGTGAATTGTGTATTCTGTGACACTACACGCCGAAATCATGCTGTTAAATACGGCTATTTTACGGATGGTGCGTTTTGTTGTGATGTTTCAAAACATAAACACCATAGAACTCATAAGCAGAGCAAAACCTTTTGTAAAATGAATAACGTTTTCATTCATTGCTACATGAAATTGCTATTTTCACGATGCGTTTCTTTTTTGGGAGAGTATATCTTGATTATTTTGAGCATGATAACACTGGTGATATTAGAATAGAACTGATACATGTTAATAATCATAAAATTTGATATCAGCAATTATTCAGCAGTTAACAAGTTTGATTAAATGCTACAATGGAGTCTTTTTGCGTTACTTTATTATACTTCAGGGCTGTGCATACAAACATATTTCAACACATAATCAGTGATTTTACATTGAATTTTGGAGAATGACAGTGCTCTGAATTTGTTAGCCAGTTCACTATTGATATTTGTTTTAAATTGAAATTGTATGGTTTGTATCTGGAAATCTGGGTATTGTGTTAACACCTATCCTTATTTGGACTAAAGCACTAACTACTCTTGGTGTAGAGATTGAAAAGGTTATTATGACATTGTACAGATATTAAAAGAAAGTTGGAAATATACCATGTCCAGATTTATTTAAGATATTTAGGGCTCCTTGCCTCTAGGCAGGAGACCTATTGTAATCGTTAATGTTTTTATTATTATTATTATTCATTATTCCGCCGTATTTTGTACCAGACCTACAAAGAGCACCAGTGGTCAGAATCGCTTGAGAAAAGTCACCTAGATGCCCATCGAGGTGTAGATATTCCCCATTAAAATCTCAATGCTCTAGGCCCAATAGCTAGGGGCAGATAATTCAAAATTATTTTAAAAATTAAATTTCAAAAGCAAGTATGTGCAAAACTACTGATCTAATAAGTGCCAAAGTTCTTGAGCAGATGCGCAATCAAAATGCCTACAATTTGCTTAGACGGGTCAAGTTGCTAAAATGTATCGTTTTGCAGTTATATTTGTTTAACTGATGTCCAGTACGATTGTGCAAATTCTGCACAAAAAGTGCCAGGTTGCCGTTCCACTAACCGATCTTACCTAAGATCAATCTTAGCAAGTTACGCCAATTTTACAATCGTCTTAGCTAAAAGTTACACCCGTTCCACTAATCGATCTTAGGCCGATCGTAGCCGGTCCCGATCTTGCGATCCGATCCAAGCTTAGATCGAGACTTTTCGTGCGAGAGATAGAGGAATGCGAGGCACGAGTTATCTCCCTTTACATAGTCTAGCAAATGATAGAAAGTAGTCTACGAAGTGAGTTTAGATTTACGCCGCACTCAGCAATAGTCCAGCTATATGGCGGTCTGTAAATAATCTAGCTAAGATGCATAGCGTTCACTAACATGAGCGTTCATGTTAGTGAACGCTATGTATCTTAGCTATAAATAATCAAGTCTGGACCAGACAATCCAATGATCAACAGCATGAGCATCGATCTGCGCAAATGGGAACCGAAGACATGTGTCAACCAAGTCAGCGAGCCTGACCACCCGATCCCGTTAGTGGCCTCTTACGACAGGCATGGGTTATTGAAGTTCAATATTCTAACCCGAGCCTTCATGGGTATTTTTCCAACCAAGTGTAAACGTGGAGAAAAAACCTAGAGCAAAATATTAGGGTTGTGAGCACCTTGGTTTCAGGTGCAAGTGCGTGTGAACGCTGGGTATCAAGCATAATATAATAATAATAAATGCATATTTATAGTGCGCCTATTCCACATCCTTGGGCATGCTCAAAGCGCTATGTACAGATAATTTACTCGAGAATATTTACAGCCGAGATTATAAGTAATATACAGAGAACAGGTTTTAAGTCTGGACTTTAAAAATGTCAATTGTGTCAGAGCTTTTAATATGTGCCTTAACCTTGTCAATCAGAATAAACAAGGCGTGTTGTACAAATGTGTTATACCGACACGCTCGGTTGTGTTCCCATGACGACAGTGGTCAGACTGGCCTGACATTTGTAAGGCTTCAGTGCAGTGTTTGTTTACATCACAGAAATATACAAATTCGTTTCATGGGGGACTTTAGGGGACGCTCACGTTGAAATGCTCGCTCTTATTTTGCACACAGAATAGGAAAGCCACCATTTTGGTTTCTGTACGATTGATTTTAGCTATCCTAAGTTGGTCATGAGCAACTTAGACTTTGAATCTTAACTTTACGATTGACTTGGGTAAGATTGGTTAGTGGAACGGTATGCCGATCGTAACGTCACGCTAAGCTTGGGATTTTAGGGGTTTACGATTGGCGTAGGGCTAAGATCGGTTAGTGGAACGGCACCCAGAACTCTAATGGTTTTGACCGTAGACTAAAGAACAACTGAGATACCGACTTTTAAAGAGGGAACTATTTCTTCTTAAGAACTTCTTAAAAGGAACATGACCCCGCGCTCCCGTGTCAAAAACGTGTTCTGGTTGCGTTTCGGGCGATTTCTAGCCCTCAAATACAATTCAAACACCCGTAAATCTGAAACCAAACGTCCGATTTTGACCAAAATGTACCTGTACAAGTGGGCTATTAGTGTGGATTATAACTAACGATTGCAGTAATGTATCTTCAAAGACAACAGAGGGACAAGTGAAATTATATTTTCCACATTTTAGTTGCTATCTTCATCGGTTCTCTAGAGAACACAATGAAAGTTAGCCGTATGTATCTCAAACGTTAGCTGATCAGTTTCTGTTCTTCGGTGCATGTGAAAAGTATCACCGTTTGGTACATATCTTCTTCATGATTTTTTGTTAGAGGTAATTAAGATAGATGTTTGAACAAGGGGTTCTTCTGTTTTGAGATTCATGATACCCAAGTGATATTTTCTAATCAAAGAAAAAAGGTTTGGTGATGAATTTATCGAAACTTAAAGACCTTCCAGTGCTTCCAGTCGAAGAGCATTCGACTAGCAGTGATATGATTCATATTAACTAAAACTATTACTACTTTCATCAGTTATGTGACAGACACAATAGGCTAGATAGAACTAAAGCCAAGGAGCCTACTGAGTCAAAAAAGAAACTTCACATTCTTTCTTCAGGGCACTATAAAAGAACAAAAGATGGTAAGATGGTTAAATTGTTTTTATTTCATTGCTGAGATCTGTGTGATGTACTCGATACACTGACAGTGCCATAATCAGTTCCATTAGGCTACACCGCCGTTCCAAAACATGGGTATACAGAATGTCAAGTCACAAGAATAAAAATGCGAAATTTCTCAGTTCAATATCGTGTATGGCCGCCCCGCGCATTCACCACTGCCAAACACCGTCTCCTCATCAACTGCCTGATGCTTGTGAACACGTGGTTGGGGATTCTGCGCCATTGCTCTTGCAAGGCAGCGCCAAGTTCCTGCAAATTCTGAGGTTGGTTCCTAAGACCACAAGCCTTCTCCCAAGTGCATGCCAAACGTGCTCTATTGGATTAAGGTCAGAGGACGTCGATGGCCAGTCCATGACGTTGATTCCAGCGTTTTGAAGGAAATTTCGTGTCAACATCGCGGTATGCGGCCGAGCATTGTCATGCTGGAACTGTAGACCTGGGCCATGAGCCGCCATGAAAGGAACGAGTTCAGGGGTGAGCACCTGGTCGCGGTAAGCAGCAGCTGTGAGGTTTCCACGGATGACCAGAAGTCGGGAACGGTTGTTCCCACAGAAAGCACCCCACACCATGCAACTTCCGCCCCCGAATCTGTCGACTTCCTGTATACCGTTCACGACGTCGTCTCCAGACTCTATGCCTGCCGTCCGCGAATCTGAGGGTAAACCTGGATTCATCGCTAAAGACAACTCGATTCCAGTCTCTCTGGGTCCATCGGAGGTGACGTTGGGCCCACAGCAGACGTTGACGTTGATGAAACGGCGTCAATATTGGCCCACG